AAGACGGATACTGGTGGCGAGCTCGCAGAGGCTCATATGAACGATGGATGAGGTGAGAGAGAAGATCGCTGATCTCCTTACTCCCACTCTGAGTGACCTGAATACACCCCAGTGCACGCAGTGACACACACACACTCACACACACATACACATACACATACACGGGGCATCTCACTGCAGCTGACAGCCATTCATTCACTTCAGTGACATGCTCAGGCTATATCTAAATGGAGGGCTTTCTCTGGATTGGACACACACACACACACACACACACACACACACACACACACACACACAGAAGTCTTTTTTCAATTCAATAATTTTTACATTTTCATCGCTCACCACCTCACTCTATTTATTCCATAATTATGTAATAAAGGCGAACACAGATACACACTCTCGCACAAATACAAGCACATAATTACACACATACACACATGCCTACACACCGACAGAGCAGCTCACGATCTATAGCACCTATATTCCTCTAAACTGGAGAGGTGCCTCAGATGTAGTGTCTTTGCTCGCGTCCGCCAGCCCCCACCCGAAAAACTAAAGAAATACAAGAAAAACCTGCCACACCTTTCTCTGACACCTTGACCCTTCACACACACACACACACACACACACACACACATCAGCTCGCGGCATGTTTGCTCTCACAACGTGAAAGCCCTCTCTCATTAACCCAGAGGGCACCCCCAGCCTCCCATTGTGCCCCTATCTCCCGCAGCATTCTGGGTAAAGTAGTTTAACAATGTCAACCAGATAAGCCCAATGCAAACCTGCTGATAAGCAGTCAAAGACTGCCCTTAATGTCTGTGTGTTTTAAAGGCGTTGGTTGATTGAGGGGCCAATGAGAATGTAAAAGACCAGCAGTGAGCAGAATGGGTGCAGATGTGTGTGCATGCCTGTGTGTATGTGTGTGCGGTCACACTGGCAAGTGTACTGTTTCATATCTTTGTAATAACAAGTTAAACTGCCGAAACAGCTAAACGCAGAATACAAAAGGAAAGCAAACACGCAAGCGCACACACATACGGCTGGACAAAGAGCCTGAGTGTGTGCATGTGTGTGTGATTTCAATCTATGGCCAAGGACCATTAGCAAAGTTATTCAGAAAAAATGTGAGTCAACTTTTCCTGTATTGACAAGTAAAGCAGAGAAAAAGGGCAGAGGAGAAGCCGACATTAAAGGTGAACACCACCTAAATAAAAAGTTTGAATGTGTTATTTTCATAGCCTAGAAATGTGTAATCAATATTTGCAAACACGAGTTAAGACATTAGTCTCAAACTTGTGATGTCATAGGGTGAAAAGTCTGGAGCTGCTCCATAGAAATAAATAGCAGCCTGATTTTGTGGACTCACAGAATGTTTGCTTTCTCTTTTATACCCAAAAGCTGTATTCTCGTGTAGCGCTCTCAGTTCTGACACAGAAAATGTCCCAATACACAAAATGGTTAGACAGGAAAATACTATTTGTCATGGTCATCTGACTTGTACAAAAGAAAATGATAATTATTGTTAGATGTTATGGTGACCACGCATATCTGTGGGGCACACTCACTAGTTTGAGAGTGATTTTATGGTTGATATTTACACTTATTCTTCTTATCAAACAGAAAAATACAACTGTATACCAATTCTTGTTAACTCATTGTAAAATAGACTTCATTCAAACTCGTTGGTCATCTTGTTAGTTAGTCCAATGTTCCAACAATCACCTCTGGTTTGGTTGAGATAAACCCTTAATTTACTGAGTTAGATGTGAAAACATGTTGATCTGCACGCTGCTTATCCCGGCGGTCTCTGCCTCTCAGCTGTCCACTGAGCAGCTGCTCTCACTCGTTCTTTGGAGGCAGCGAAAGTAATGTTACATCATGTTCCGACAAATATTAGATCAATGGCAACAAAAGAAAAAATAAAAGTTAGAGTAATATCTGTAAAGTTACCGATTGTTTATTTGAAAATGTACGCTATCAGGACGTTTGTACAGAAGTTAGCCCGCTACAGTGGTTACAATGGCAACAGTACTAAGAACAATGGCTCGCTAGTCCAACTATCCCTCTACTTCAATTTTAATAGGAATGTCCGTTGTACTCTCATTATATTTATATGCTCAGAACATTCCCCTGGGTGCTTTTTTTGGCCCTCATTTATGAAACAAACATGCGGCAGAAAACTGGGCGTACGGTCATTTCCACGTAAAGCTCGGCATTTATCGGTGTGGACGTGAGCAGATGCTACGATCAAATCTTGCGTCACGTCTCAGCTCGTGATTGAGTCAGCATGGACTTGCAATGCAGTAGTAAATCTGACTGAGTTGGAGAACTGTTATTAGAACAAACTCTGATTGGCATCCAAGCATTTGCAGCCACCTAAAAATGTATAGCCACCACACTGACGCTCGCTTTCTATCATAGCTTGCAGATCCCTGGCTCTGTGGGACTGACTCTAGGCTGACCACAGGATGAACGCCACTTATGCCCGACTCTTAACTTATCTAGGACTTTTCTTTTTTCTTTTTATACAGACAGATAATTAGAAAAAAATAAGTAATACCTGCAATAGTGTAAATATTTCAACACTAGTGGCCTATAGGTTAATAGACTCTTATCGGTGTCCAACTCAGACACAGGTGCTGAGGTCTGTGTCCTCTGCCACCTGTTATGCCCAAATGGAAGCAGACCCGATATGCACGGACAAACGACTCTCAGTTAAAAGCTTTTATTTGACTAGGCTATTATAAGAATATCAATATTATATAAAAGCCAAGGACCTAAGTATTTCCATTTCAAGCTCAGAGAAGTTTCTCTTCTTTGTCGTATTACCCTCTAGGTGCGAGGACTCTAAACCCAAAATATATTGGGGCAGGATACGTAAATGGCGATTGTTTTCAGCTGCAACATTTATAAACGCCCGATCATTCAGTGATTGGCGAGATGACAACGTTTCATGAATCACACGCAAATCCTATTATAAGGCGATTTCGGCGCTCAGATCTGCACTGGTTTAAATGTTAGATTGATAAATGAGGGCCAGCGACATCTTGAACATCTTTCCCAATTCATTGTCTGTGGAGCAGCTCCAGACTTAATACTTGGTGACATCACAAATTTGAGTTTTAGCACTTCAGTTTTTGGATTTGGGAGAGAATTGTTCATGTTTACTAGTATTTTTGGACTGTCTTAGACCATAGGAATAACAGTTCCCCTTTAAAAACGCAGCTCAGTGACAATAAAGTTTACTGCCGACGTCCAAAGCTGTGCTCCAGAATTCTTCTTCGCGGGCCGTCACGAGGCAGCCAGACTGTAATTCAAGGGCAAAGGTAAATCCACCATCCAGACTTTAATGTTGCAATAAGCCGCGTCACAAAGGCTCCAGTTACAATGCGATAAAAAGGTGTGAATATTTCACAGGAAGTCTCAAATAAAGTGCAGTAAATTTGCGCACTTTGTCCCAGAAACTCCACACCCTGCAGGGGATAATCTCTGTTCTATCCAGCTCTCGCGTTACACATATATGGCCTACACACACACACACACACACACACACACACACACACACACACACACTTAGAGGCAAGCAAAAAAGCCCACAGAAGTACAGAAGTGCATTCAGACTGCATGGATTTATATTGATGTATACACAAGACTAGTACGCTCTGTCTGATGAGCACATGTGCTGCATTTCTGGTATTCTCACACACATATGTGCTCACACACATGCACAAAGTGAGGATCTGAAATCTTGGCAGGCCGAAAGCCGATATCCTCTCTTTGTTCTCTTAATGGTCCTGTTCCGTTTTTATTATTCTGAATACCTGACCCACCTGTACAGCCAGAGGAGACTCTATCCCGCCCGTCGTCTCTCATGAAACTCATGAGATACAGTTTCCCTTTCTCTCCCCATTCTTCCCCTTCTATCGGCTACAGCTACAGTTTCAAATTGCTTCCTCCTCTCGTGTTTTCCCTTTTTTTTTGTCTCTCCTTTTCCTCATTCTTCCACGCTTTCTTCTGTGGTCCATTTTCCTCCAGCAGACAAATGATCGGCATTGATGAACACAAGGCGGTATTCAGAGGACTCACACCCAGCAGAAAAGGGAAAAAAAACAATCAAGATGTGTTTTTTTTTTTGTAAGAATCTTTTTTTTAATGAAACACAAAAAGGCAATAAAATTAAGATAAATAATTTTTTTCCTTTTGTACATGAGGAAATATTTAAGTCATATTTCCAAAGAATGACTGAAATTACATAATATATTTTAGTAGGCTATCTCAACCGTACAAAGCAGTTTTCCAGTGGGTCTAAAAAAAAAAAAAAGAAAAAGAAAAAAAAAGAAAATACACAATGATGTCGCTTCTGTCAAAAACGTGATGGTTAGAACTGAATCCAGTGTTTCTTAAAGAAAATACAGCTTTAAAAAATAATCAATTAAAGACCCATAAAAGTAATATTTCAAAATTGAGTTTCACATTAGATTCCTTTTAAAGCTTTTGCTTTGCAGTGTAACAGCAACATTGTTGTTAAAAGTCAGTCAACATCCTAAAAAAAAAAAAGAAAAAAGAAAAAAGAAAAGAAAAAGGCAATCGTGTTCTTCCCCCCTGTACATCCTATACACTGGCAACAGTCATCACAGGCTTGCATAAACAGTAAGACGATGAGGAAAACAAGCAAACATAAAACACACACACACACACACACACAGACAGTTTTTTGGCAAAGCAGGAATAAAAGTGACAAGAAGCATAATTTGTGATTTGATCCTTATGTTTCCTTTTTTGTCTCTCAACATTGTCCCATTGATTGGCTCTGATTGTCCTTCACAGTCACGTGATGCCATTCTGGTTGCCATAGTGACCTCAAGTGCATCAGCTGGGCAGCGTGCAGACAATGTTGCTGCAACGTTTCTCGGAGGCTGTCATAGCAACACTGGATGAACACGAGAAGACAACGAGAGGAACTCTACTTAAAATACCTCTGTGATTGCAGGGGTCCCGGATTCAGATTTGATTGAACGTTTTTATGTCCTTTTTTTTTTTTTTTTTGTTACATAATTTTTTTTCTTCTAATGCAGTGAAGCGTAAACTCACAGGTGCTTTGGTATGTTTCTTTTTGATGCCAGATAAATATCTACATTTTATATAGGAATACAGGCTAAAATAGATAAAGAAGATTCTTTTAGGATCGGAGAACAGCAGAAACTCAGTTTCTTTTCCAGTATTTGTTTAAAAATAAGCTCCCAACAGGAAATGCACATTCTAAACCCAACAGAGTAAAATAAAGACAAAAAGATTTAGACACATGTTTAAAAAGAGCCTTTTTCTGATTTCCTTATAAAACATTTCCCAAACACCCTTTCGACATATTCACCCTTCGCCTAAAGCGGGGCTTACAACCACAAAGTCTTCACATCAGTTGTACAGTTTGACCCCAAATCCAAACCTCCAATCCTGTTCAGTGCAGTGAGAGTGAAGGAAACTAACCCGACCTCCTCCCTCTGTCCCCAAAAACCCACCCACACACACCCTAAAAAAATCTAAATAAAATAATCTTCTCTGCAAAAGAAAAAAGAAACAAGAACAAATATATATGTATACTATTTACAACGTGTTATATTATACATGATGCTGTACAAAGCGCACACACACGCTCCATGCACACGTACGCACGCACGCTGCCATGCACGCACATTTCAAATAAACAATCCCAACTACCTGTACATGTGTCTTCGCACCTGAATAGAAGGATGCGAGAGCGAGGTATTGACGTGTATGGCTTGGCGGGAGAAAAAAAATTCGTATTCCAGCCGCGAGCGCTGAAAACTGCACGTTAAGTACTGGACAGATTAATATTTAGAGTGTTAGACATACTGACAATGTGTCATGACATCATCCCTGTTCGATGAACGCAGGTGTACATGTGCATGACCACACACACACGCACGCTAAAGCACTATTTACTTAAGAGCTCATTAAATGCCAAACAGGGCAGCCACTCTGCAAACACACACACGCGCGCGCGCGCGCACACATACACATACACACAAAGTCCGAACTACAGTGTTTTTTGGTCCTGGTGGGGATCTCTCAATCACGTTGTCATCGTCAAACTACCAGTATAAGACCATTAAAACCCTCCAAACCAGTGTGGTTTACAGTAAGTCTGTCCTTACCATACAGTCTCTCCCACTCTCTGAGTCAGTCTTTGTTTTAGAAAGCCAAGTCTAACAGCCTCCCTTCATAGCATATCCAAGCGACTGTACTCCAAAGTGCTCATGTCCTTGGTTCCTGTTCTTTTGTTGCAGTAATCTTGTCGCAGTGACGAGATACTCTGTTATTTCAGCCACAGGGAAGGCTGGAGACTCTCGCTGCGACAAGGAGCCTCAGTCCACATCTGATAAAGAGGTTAAATCTGACATGGATCAGACTTTTCCCTAGAACAAACCTCTAAGTGCCAGTACTGTCGGGCTTTATCCAGTGGGCTAGCTCCTTCTCTTACAAGGGACAGATCAATACGCAGAGCCAAAGCTCTTTGTCTTGGTTTCCTCTCTGTCCCCAGCTCCATTCTGAAGGACCATCCTGGAACTCCAGGGCTCAGGTTCAATATTTGGATTTCTCTCTAGCTTGGGGTGCTAGGACACAATGGCCAGGCCGTCGGCGCTGATCAGCTGGCCCGTGGTTGGTTCGTAAGTTCCGGCAAGGTAGAACAGGTCGTTGGTTGCGCTGCCGGGCTTACGGTCACGCATCAGGTGATCATACTCGACCTTGCTGACCACCTGGCAGCGATGGGAGATGGTCTGCACGTCATTCTCATCCTCATGGCTTGACTGATACAAGGCATTCTGGGAGAGAGACGGGAAAAGTGGTTGATAGATGAGCATGATAATATATTCTACAATCAAAATGTTGATTTCATGAGAAAAGCGGTAAGGCTGTTATCTTTGGTGCTGTTTTCACTCTGCACTTCCCACACATACTCTCTTTGTCATGTCTTTTAGCGTGGGTTTTCTCATGATGAAGTTTCTGCAAGTGGTGATCTTTTATGTTTGCTCAGCCGCGGCGGTTGTTGCTGTTCATGCTAACTACCCAGCTCTTTTTCTATTTATTCCAAACAAACCACTACTGCTGTTGCCAGAAATGCAAAATACATGACTTCCTGTGCGGCAGAGATTTTTCCTGGGAAAGACCCACCTTACACTGAGTCTTTAGAACTGCAAATGTAACAGTTTCACGAACTAAGTGGAGGTTCAGCCATTCATATCAGATGAGAACAGGGAATAAAAAGAAGCAAAGAGGTAATATATTTATATGAAAATGTCACGGACTGTTACTTTGACCATTCCTGTTTTAGAAATTCTACTTTGCACTCCCTGGCCTTTACCTTGCCGTCGCGGTGTCGCTTCCCCAGGCGAGTCTCCTCCGGGTGGTAGAACCACTTGACCCTGACCACCATGCTGGAGCTCCACGACTCCCAGAGGCTCTCCACTCTGCCCACGTAGGGCAGCTGGGGCCGGCCAGGTGACAGGAACACAGCACAGTCCCCGACACGCACCGTCTCCTTGCCCCTCACGATGGCCTTGTAGAAAAGCTTGCGGGCTTTACCCTTCAGACCTCTCCTCTGTCGGGGAAAGAGAGTAAAAATAACACTCTCAATCAATTTATTCAGCGTGGAGGGTTTATTTCACCAATGGCCTCATTTTAGAAATCAATTAAGATTTTTGTTTGGTTTGCTAAATCCAGTCTACCAAAGTATGTTACATTTTGCATGTCAAAAAATAGCTAATGCCTAACACCAATCCTAACACCCTGACCCTACTGAGTTACAGAAGTATGTTTTGTGGATTCTCTCTCGCCCTTATAAAGATAATACCACTGAAACTCATGTAGAAATTACAAGTACAGGAACCAGAACCTTGATAGCACACCTATATACCCGCCCCATCCTTTCATTTGTTGGGGCATGTCTACACCTTGAGCGTCTTTTAAGCTGCATATCTCAGTCGACAGATGCAGTCATGTTTACAAAGCAAACAACACGACAGAATGGAAGCCGAGAGTGGCAGTGGTTGCTCAAAACTGTTTTGTTCTGTTATCTCAGGATTGTGAGTTAATAATCAGGATAACAGATTCAGAGTAAGTAACTGTAAGTAAGCTTTACAGTGCTACCACTGTGTACAAAGACTGAGGCAGAATAAGCACTGCAAAGAGAGATCGTATTTGACCGGCACATTTAGTATATGTAATCAAGGTATGACCCAGCAGAAACTGCGACAACAATCGGTAGTGAGCTTAAGTAGGTTACTGATACCCAGGACAACAGTTTTGAAACCATATAACCAAGATAATAACGTATCATTGTGAGAAAACAACGATCTGATTAAGTCAGGATTTCAATGTAATGGGATTTAGTTACAAGAAATCACAATTGCTTTAGTTTTGCACGGTGATGAAAAGCAGAACAGTAACTAAAAGAAGACAGAGACCTTGGAAAAACTCTTCAATAACATCTTGGATATGGCAAAAGAACATACAAGCCAAAGTGTCCTACCTGTGTGGGGTTGCCGGACCATTTCCAGAGCTGGCGTCCAGGCACATGAGGAGCCATGTTAGGTAGGGGCTCAGGTGAGGACATCCGCTGCCTCTTAGCTGTTGCCGGGTCCTTGGACACAGGTTTCGGCTGCTGGCTCACAGGACTGCTTTGACTCTGATGGTGGCTGCTAGAAATTCCTTCTTTCCTCTTCAGCTGGGTCTTAGCTGTGCTACTGTTAGCCACCATACTTCCTTTTGACATGAACTCCTTCCTGTCTTCTGCTCTGTCAGCCCGCACCTTTGACCCTGAGACGGCCATGCTGGCTTTGGCCACAAAGCCGTGAGCCGGTGCTGGGGCAGTGGGAGAAGAGTTGGAGGTGGTAGGGTCGGGGCTCAGGAGGTCGGAGGTCATGTTCTGCCTGTGCTTTTGTTTGTCCTGCTGGAGCAGCGCACGGCGCAGCAGCACAGATGAGGACTCTTCATCAGAGGAGTATGAGGAGTCATTGTCTGAGGAGCAGAGGGACGAGGAGGAGATGGAGCCGGAGGAGGAAGAGGAGGAGGAAGATGAGGAGAAGCAGGTGGAGAGACGGGAGAGAAAACGGCCACCGCGGTGGGATGTGACTGCTGCACTTCTTCTTGGTGCTTCAGCATCCTGACCATCATCCTCATCATCCTCATCCAGCTCAGAGTAAGAGCTGGGGCAGTCACTCGGGTAGTCCAAACTGAAATCTCCACCTTGGACTCCAAGACCTGCTGACAGAAGATCCTTTCTCAGAGGTGGAGCGCCCTTTACAATAGGCTCAGAACGGACCACAGCACCATCTCTTTCCCCTCCTCCCTTCTTGCCATCTTTAACCAGCAGCGCAGGGTGGATGTATCGCAGCGGTGCTCCAGCAGAGGCGAGACTCTTTCCTCCCTTCCCTCCACTCCCCCCAAGTCGAAGCAGTGCCTTGCCGTTCTTTGTTTTAGGAGAGGTCACTCCTTCATGGTCGAGCTTCACCAGAAACTGTTTCCTGTCACGTTCGCTTACTGGCTTTCTGCTCCCAGCTGCCATTGCCATGGTGACAGCTGAGGAGAGAGGAGAGGATGAGGAGTCCCGGAGCCCCATGGAGGCCACTGTGGCAACCGGTCGCCCTGCTCCAGAGCTTCCACCATTTTTGAAGGTAGAGAAGCTGTTGGCGATGCTACTGAAGGAGTCTCCTTCAAAAGGAGAACCAAAGATGCCTTTGATAGGCATTGGAGGTGCGAGAAGGTGTGAGGCGGGCCGATGAAACAGCCCCAAGTCTCGCTCTCGTATCCTCCTCTGGGTCTTCCGAGACGTCCCATTGAAGAGGAAGAAGTCAACTGGCGGTCTTTTCCTGGGCGGCGCAGACCAGTTTAACAAGGAAGTGTTGCCTTTGGTTACAGTTTCTGTTACTGATGTCGGCGTGCTGGCAGTCTTGGGCACTGAGTGGACTTTCTTAGGCCTGCCAACTGAAAAAGGAGTCGGCAACAGAGAAGAGTTATAATCAATACAAACTGACAGGTCTGAAGAGCACACTGAGATAATTGTGGAACTAAGAGCTTTGGAGAAACTTAATAACTTTATCTCCTTGATCTCCACCTAGCCAGGTAAGTTTCAACATATCCATTACTCAAACTACAACAAACCTGGTAAACCTGTCTGTCCCTCCACTTGCAGTGTCAACTGGAGTTTGTGATGAGTTACATGTTGCTCAACTACACAAAACACGTTGATGTCACCTCGTAAAAGCATGATTAATGTGGTCATATAGAGGTTAATTGATAGGCGGCAAACAAGGAATTTTAATTTATGAGACTTTGGGTTTATGCGCCTTTGCTCAGTGCTCTCATCTGACTCGGAGGCATCTGATAAGTGGTTGACAGTTGCAACTGTAAATGAGGTGTTGTTTGGGAGAATTTTAGTATGGCCTGAAGCGCTGTGTGTCTGTGAATGTATCCACCAGTTAGACCAGTACTTCTCAGACAACATATATTAAAGCTTCAGTAGCTGAGTGATGTTCAGTCCCTTAATGAATTTCTCAGACATCAAATAGAAAGCCAGTCTTTTGAACACGTTTAACTAATAATAGCTGGTTAAAAATGACCTTTCAAATATGCAAAGCTTGACAAAACATGTTTTATTTGGATGGGTGACGAAATATTAAATACAAGGATAGCGAATGTCTGGTTCAGAGCAAGCAGCAACCTCAGAGGCTAAAAAAGGAAGCTAATGTAAAAGTACCAAAAACTGCGGTTCTATAAATGGCCACTTGAAGCTGGCTTTAAAAGGAAGTAAATCCGCATAGACCCCCATGTTAAAATGCCCAACTTAAGAGCGGAATAAACATATTTACAGCCTGGTACAAAAAAAATTATTATGGTCTCTATAGCTAATTTCAAAATTCAGAACTGTACGGAGGATACATTTTTTATAAAATCACCTGGTTAACTGTTATTAAGGCCTAAAATGCAATGCAAAATTATGGGCGTGGGTGCTTTGAGTGATAGGTGGGTGCTATCCGTTGGCAAGTAACTACCAAGGCAACAGCGTAGAGTATAGGCATTAGCTGTTGCTATTTCAGTGTTTTCAGTTCATGAAAGTTAATTGTAATGATTTGGTGTTCTAAAAAATTTGTAGTGTGTTTGGTTGTACTAAAAGACCCTCTAATGAGTCAGATTTTATGTTAAGTACATTTTGTTTTAATAGTTTTTTTTTTGCTAGCAAAATTTAGCATTGTCTTGATTAACCATAGATGTAAATGCACCATGCTAACCAAGCTAGGACCTAGCTTTAGAATGATCTCCACCCTCTCATCCAAATATGGTTATTTCTGGCTCCAACTTAACCAAGATGACGATGGCCAAAATCTAAACTTGAGGCTTCAAAACAGGAGTCCACATCCAATGGCTGATGTGACGGTGACTACGTCCACTATTGTATACAGAGTGCTGAGTATGTTCCCGCCTCCCTCACCTGGTCTTTTCTCTTGGGGCCTCCCTGTTGGATCCTCATTGGCTGGTTTCTCTGTGGGTTTGTCTTTCCTGTCCTGGGTGGAGCTTCGTCGACCGCGACGACCAGGTGAGACCAGAAGTGCTGGAGAGGGTTCCGCACCTGACAGAGAAGAGCTGTTAAATGGCGGTGTCTTTTCTTTCTTTCTTTCTTTCTTTCTTTCTTTCTTTCTTTCTTTTTAATCCCTCTATTTAAAGCCATACTCACAGCAGATTTGGTATCCTGGGGGCAGAAGTCTGATGTTTGCGAGGGAGATCCTTCCCCTGTCTCCATCATCAAACTCCACCATCACGCTCCCCTCCTTCTCCTCCTCACCTGGCCCTCCTAAAGCAAATCAAACAGGACGTTGAACATGAGTTGCCGGGGACGTAATAGTGCATATCTGCAGTATTGATGTTATAGGTGCATCTTGCTCACCTCGGTGGACGTATCCGGGGTAAAGACAGCGAGAACGCTCGCTCCAGTAGGCACAAACTCGCGTCCCTGCAGTCAGGATGGCCTCATTCTGGGGCCGCACATCTAACACCTGGAAAAATCACAAAATTATGTGTGTAACATATGTGGAGTTTCAGTTAAAGCTACTATGTTAAAGATGCTATGGTGACTTAAACTCACAGCTTCCTGAAGTAGTTGCTCCAACGAGTAAATACGGGGACGATTCCCTCTTTCTCCTTCGATGACAACACTGAATCTAAGAAAAAAAAGGAAAGGAAAATGATTTAAAAATAAAATTTGTCAAAATGTTATTTTAATTTGTAAGGTATAATTTTAGCACAATTTCCACTGTTAGATTTCAAGGTTGTCTTTTTCAAAAAGGGTTTTTGTTATGAGTGCCCAGGTTTTTCACTGGCAGCTGAGTTGGCCGCCACTGCTGTGTGTCTTGGCTTTTGTAGTTGTCTAGACTTCTTGTTTGTCAAGATTCACACAGCTGTCAGGCATTTAACTAAGCTAACGTTTCAACTCTTTTGTAAATCAGAGAAGACTCTTGTTGCAATATGTCTTTTTAGTACTTAACTCCAGGGTTTCCCCCAGGAAATCGTTAAGCTGAGGCGGTTATCCACCCAGATTTTGATGCTCCTCATATTGGGATCAATAGAAGACGGAAAAAAACAATGGTCATATATAGCAGTAGCTGTGTGAAATAGTCACTGTGCTCTTTTCCCTGGAAGGTTGATGTTTTATTTCATGAAGGAGTGTTTTTAGAGAAGGTGGTTTGTATCTGTAGTGAGACAGCAGGGAAGAGGGGGCTTACATGTCAGGCAGGTCCAGAGTTTGAACGCAGGCAGCATACAGCAGCTCGTCCTCCTTGGAGATCAGGATCTTCAGCCCGTCCACCAACATCTCTTTACTCAACACACAGTTTGGCAGGGCTGTGGAGGGAGGGTGTGGCAGAAAGATGGATGGATGGAGAAGATAAAGGGGTGAGATATAGATAATTTGTGAGTGTGTTGAATAATTGCTATGTGAAGTGGAAAGGAGGGACAAAAAAGGCAGAGAAAGAGGTGTGTATGAATGTGTGAAACGGATCCAACATGCTTTTAAAACCTGCATGTGTGTGTGTAATTATACATGATGTGTCACTGCCTACCGGGTATTCTGCAAGGCATGTTGGGAGGGAGGTGGGTCAACTTCATCTCCTCCTCCGCCTCCTCTTCCTCCTCCTCCCCCTCGGAGAAGCTGCTTTCCTCATCCAACCGAAAGCCGTCGTCGGCTGCGAAGCTCTGCAGGAGTCGGCTCACTGCGTGGCCTTTGGCCTGGACAGGAAACAGGATGTGACATCAGTGAGCGTAAAGCAGGATATTGTATCACTTCATCACACTATGCCAAAATACATCTGCAATATAAACAGGATCTGCAGGTGACTGAAGTGATTCTGATGTGGCTGATGTGGTGAATTCGTCAGTGAAAAGCAACCGCAGGCACTAACGCCTCTTGTAATGTGATACTTCAATTAAGTCTGCAGAATTTTTTTTTTTTTTTTTTTAACACACCACCAGTGCTCAAAGGTCAAGAGGTCACAGTCAGTAATAATGGCAGCTCTTGAACTGGTGGGACTTCAGCACATTGCTCAAGGACACTTCAGCAGTGTGGACGCCTTCTAATATAAAAGCTTGAACCCTAATTTAAATTATCACTATCAGACACACACACACACACACACACACACACACACACACAAGATACTATCCATCTCCAAACCGGTTTAGGCTAGTCTATCCAAAGATGACTGATGACTGATGATGGAAAGTCAGCTCACCCAACAGGTTCCTGCTTGTATTTAGGCTTTCCAAAGAAAAGACTATAATATAACACATGAGAGATGGGGTGTGTGTGTGTGTGTGTGTGTTAATGTGTGTTAATGTGTGTTTGTGTGTTCGTGCGTGCGTGTTGTCTCTTGGAGTTTTCCACATCAGGAGACCATATATTTTAGTGACAGAAGTTTCGTCACCAGAGGGCATGGGTGATTATTTCTCTTTAGTGCTAGTGGTGTGCGTGTGTGTGTGTGTGTGTGTGTGTGTGTAGGCATGCATGGGTGTGTAAGGGTTATGGCCAATGATTATCTTTATACCTTACTGTTTGGTTTGGAGTTATGTGTTTTTGGACATTCCCTCACTATGAGTCAAAGACTAAGGCAACCTTGGGGCATCTCTCATTAAAATGAATGTGGGTGTCTCGCCAGTGGCTGCTTGCACGAAGACAGCGGGGCCAGAGGTGTGTTGGCACAATAGGCCGGTATGCAAACTCACACCTACGACACGAGCAAATGGTATATTTGACAAAGTCACTGATTTACAGCTGACGTGACGCGTCTCCCCATGAGGGAGTCAAGGTTATTGGCAGATTGTGTCACTTGTAATTTACAGGATTTCCAAACCTCCTGTCAGGGTGTGGCTCACTTTTAAGGAAGGATTGAACTTGAGGCGAGGGCTTTTCCAAACTCCTCCTACCTCTCGTTCTCAGCCTTTACCTGCATGCATCAGAAGGCCAAAGGGCGTGACCTTTTGTTAGTCACCTTTCTTTCACTCACATTCCCAGTCCGCCTGAAACACCGTCAGGTTTGGCACATAAAAAAACACAGCATGTCCCTTTTTTGCTCGTTAACTCATTTCAAGAGTAATGTACGTAATTACGTTCCTTACAACTCAGTGACAGCGGTAATTTATTGTGATACTCATTATGTAACCTTTCTGTCACACCTCTAAAATTGGCAACTGCATCTCACCTTTCCCATCTCAGTTTTCTTTCCCATGCAGTTCGGTGTGACTGAACAAATATGCCAGCAAAGCCCACAGATTCTGTCACCCTTAAATGGATGCTGAACTTTAGGGGAGCATTTAGTTGTACGGCCTCCTGCCCGTGATATTATCTCCAAATATTGTTGATTTTCTTTTTGATTTAGCTCCAGCTGGCAGAATATGTTTTGTAACCTCCTGGATTACAGGAGCAACTGATAAACATGACCAACAGGTATACTGCACAACAACACTTGCTATCTACTTCCCCTGATCATGTACAAAGAAGTACACACATGACGCAGCTGAGGAGGGAAATGCAAGATACAGATGGCAGTTTTGAGCGTGTAAATATGACAGAGAGGTGTCATAAATCACTACTGTCAGGGAGTAATTTACTTGGTTGAATAGCTGTCACTGGCAAAGGTAAAATATTGCTGTGTCACTGTAAAGTTACAAGCCGCCACCCAACACTGGTCCTCACCTTTCCCAGAATGACCTGTCCTGATGAGCTCTTCCTCATGGTTTCCTTGCTCGCCCTGTTTGCTTCCGTCAGACCTCCATGGTTCCCCCGGCCGTCACCAAAACTGCAGCCCACTGATGGTGCACCCCAGCTTGGCAGAGACGCTCTTTTGGTCCCCTGGTGGTCTGGATGTCCCCTGTCTGTGTTGGCGAGGCTCGGCCTTCTGGGCGCTCTCCTCTGATCTACGCTGGGCATGCTCCCAGTGCCTGAGGGTGAAGGGGACATCATGGAAATTAGAGCTGACAGATACATTGCAAAAATGTCAATATCTAATATTAGAATGTATACAGTCATAGCACTGACACAATTTTCTGAGCTATATTAGATTGTTCTGGATGATTTCATGAACAAAGACAATTGCTTTGCATCATATCAACATCACTAACGTCAATATTTCTTTCAAAACCCTAGTTAGATTGTAAAAAAAAAATCATAGTTGCACACTGACCATCCATAATACCCTGTTAGTGTTTAGCTGCAAGTTTATCCTTGTACATTTTAAAGCATTTCAAAACTAAAACTAACGTAGATTTCTCTAAACCCTATGAAATGTATGTTATCCTTCACTTCAAGTCAAAAAAAACTAAAAGTCACAAAGTTACAAAGTCATAAAAGTTGTAAAGACATGTAGAAAGGTCTCACCGGGAGGCCCTGGTCTCTTACTCCTGGCTTTCTGGTTCACTTGGAGTTTGGAGGACTGCGATGAAAAAGGCACGATCCCAGCAGGGTTTGCAGGAGCTTCTTTAGAGGATGAGCTAACCTTGGTGTCACTGGCTCCATCTTCGCTGTCGTAGCTGCCCTCCTCCTCCTCCTCCTCTGTGGAATCACAACATCGATATGATCAGTCGGAAAGCTCCAAGTGATCTAAATGTAAACACTGTTAACTAAGGCCAGGGACTTGCTTGATGAGATGTATTGACAGCAAGCTTTCAATATTCCTTTAGCATCCACACTTCAGTTCACAAGGCTGTGGCCAAACTTCTGTAGTCGTGAATACAAAAGTTGGATGAGAAATGTTGCCGGTACGTGTTTGATCGAACTTTTCTTTGAGGGTTTTGGGACATATTAACTCTATTTTTATGCAGCTTGTTCCTCAACTGCAGTTACAGGAAGCAAATGTTGACACACATGCATATATGCAGCGCACACTCACTCACAGATTGTTATTGGCAGCTGTGTGTCGCTGACTGCGGGGGTCGTGTCGGGTGTCGACACATCTCTGACACACTTGTCACTTACATGGCGCTCTCGTCAACACTTTGCCTCAGTCACACACACATACACACACCACACACACATCCAACCACTGCTTCTCCATGGCGTCAAGGCCATGAGGTCAGTCACATTTTCCTGAAGTTTTCACATCAGACCGTCCTCTCTTGTGATGCATTCATTTAAAAGTTAGGATGAGTGTCATTGTTTCTCCTCATCTCAAGCCTCCGAGGAGGACATTTTCACAAGGTTGGGGAGGTGAGGAAGAGTGGGGAGGAACCCGGGGTGTGAGATTCTGAACGGAGCCAGAGCGGGCTCACGTTACTGTGCGGTGTTGAGGGCAGGGGTGGCTGTGTTGCATGCCTGTGGCAAGTCGTTAACGGTTTTAACGGTGTGACAGACGAGCCAGGAAGTGAGAGGAGAGCCCCCTGATGACGGCAGACATCTCACTCTCAGACGCTTCACGTGCACACACTCACAGATGCACTCTCATCGCGAAATCTCTCGATGTCTGGTTGATGTTCTTTGAGCCATCAGCCAAATCAGCACTATTTGACTCATGTGTGTAACAGCCTGTGAACTCTGCTGGTTGACATGACTACATACTTGTGTGCGACCTGTAGTTTAACTCACCGCGCTCTGAGCTCTCACTGTCACTCTTCTCTTCCTTAACTTCCTGCTTTTTGGAGCCTTGATCGTCCTTGTGGTGAGCTTTGCTTGCATTGACGCCCATCAACACTTTGGGCTTTCGACCCCTCTTCCTCTTTGCAGTCTGACCAGCTGCCCAGTCCTGCTGCAGGTCTGACAGATCAACAAGAGGAGGGGGATTTAGTTTTAGGGTGCTGCTTAAAAGAGAAGTGCCTGTGCATATATGCTCCCTCTGTACCCACCTTTTCTTCCTTGTCTGCAGTGACTCTTGGAGGCATCTTCCTCACCAGGAGTCCCTCTGCAGTGCAGCATGCTTGCCGATGGTGCACCACGCTGGGCTGCAGCCTTCTGCTTCAGCTGGGTCACCCGCCTGGCCAGCCTGGAGCTCAGGGCGCTCGGTCGACCTCTGTGCTTACAACGAGCTTTCATCTGTGGACCGGGAGTGGAAAGCTAATTATTGACTCATTTCTTTCCGCTAATTGAAAGATCCAGGAAAGAAAAAAAAAACATTAGCAGCAGGAAGTGGTTGTCAGTGTGTGTGTGGATGAACCAGAAGGAACCCCAGAGAGACAGACCTGTGCGGAGCTTAGGCTGTTGAAGCCGTGATTGGACATTTTCTTCCTGGCTTTTTCCTCCAGTAAAGTCAGCCCCGCTCTGGAAAACATAAATATGTGACACAGACGTACTTCAATGAGAATTTATCATATATAAAACAGATCACAGAACCAATCTGATCACACATTTCTTTCCTTTCATGGATGCTTTTCTCAGCCTCTCTGCTCTCCTCTTTCTAGTTTCGCCTTCCTCTCCACTGGGTTCATTCATTGTCTCACTCTCTCCCCACTCTTCCTCTCTGTCTCATAACTTTGATGAGGTAAGAGACCAACCGTCTGTGCAGATTGACGGCAAACACAGAAATATTCAGCGGCCGTGTGAATATGAAACTCTGCTGAATCACATGAAAGGGTAAGAATTATCTGGTGTGAAGGAGAGTGGAGAAGAGACGGAGAGACAGAGAGGAGGAGGAGAATGGTTGAGGGGGAAGGGAAAGAGACAGAGAGAGAGAGATGAAGCAGTCTCGGGGGAGTCTGTCCGTTGACCGGAGCTTCAGGGCTCGATCGATAAACACTAACCTCTATTGAACACTACTCCTCCCTCCCTCTCTCTCTCCCTCTCTCTCTCTGTCATTCCTTCATTGTATGCATGCTCTCTCACACCACAGGCAGCCAGCACACACACTCACACACACAGCTCACACACTCTGTTAGCAGCTGGTGTCTGAGGCAGGTGAATCCTATATTCCCACAGAGGGAAGGTTTGGCTCTCAGCATCTCCGCTCCTGGGAGAGGAGAGGAGAGGAGAGGAGAGGAGAGGAGAGGAGAAAGCAAAGGAAAAGACAGAGTGGTATCTATCTATCCTCCTTTCCATCCAGAACCACATCTGTCTGTTGCAACCCCCACCAAGCCTTTGTTCACCTCTGACCCCTCTGAACTTCTAAGCCCTAAAGTTCACCACATGTCACATGCTCACCAATGGTGCAAACTTGGCAACAGTTTAGTGAGGCCAGGTACATAAAGGGCTAATTTTCCAAATTCTGTTGTTGAAGAACCTGTCTGGCCTACACAGAGCCCTGACCCCGGCTCCATTGACACCTTTGGGATGGACTGGAATGCCAAATGTCAGTCAAGCCTCAAGGCGTCAGTATGCTTTAAACGCAGTGCTTTTCAGATCATTGAACAGCAGCTGAAACCAACCCCCCCTCCAAACACACACACACACCTTTCAGGTGTCAGAATTGCAAAGGCTACATCGAACATTTTTTGTAACTTTCCAAAAAGACAATCCAACAATCAAGCCCACTTTGCACGGCCAGATGAGCAGAGCAGAGACAGTGAGTGGGGTTTAAACTTTTCTCTCAAGCTCTCTTTTTCAATTTTTCACATGACTATTGCAACCTAATCTCACTCCCGACTTGTCAAACTGACGCTTAGTCAGTTGCCCTTGGCGTGAGATATTGACGCACAGAGGCACCCTTTAGTGGCACACACAAGTGTCCTTTTTTGACGCTTCAAGCAACTGCTGTGGTGTAAAGAGCAAGAAAGTACACATAGGGCAGTTGGGAGGCAAGATGGATGGGTCAAACAATCAACTGGGAGACCGCTGTTCGTTTCCCGTGTGAAACCAGAAGTCAATCTAAGTATTTTAACAACAACATAGTGTGCTATAAGTGTAGCATACAAGGCTGGGAACGTATACTACATGACATATGTGACATATGGTGTGGTTTTATTGGCAAAATCTGAAGACCAACGTTTTTCTTTTGCCTTCGTCCTAGGTTTATTTTTGAAAAGACTGTATGCATTGTACATTTCCTTAAAAAATGGAGGTTTATTTTGAAAAGACAAAGCATGTCATGAGCATAAATTGACATGCCGTCCCTGAGCATCCAAAAATGATGTTGAAGTGGTGCTTACAGCATCATAGTTTATCATGTAGGGCCACTGACCAAGCATCGGTATTTGACAAGTTGGGAGTGAGAGTGTGTTGACTATTTTCATCACTTTTAGTGTGTACAGTCTCTCCTTGAACACCTTTAAGGAGTGTGTGGTGTTTTTCCTGTTTGACCAATTGCTGTGTCTGGCCTTTTCTATGATGGCAGGCTTTTCACCCAGCTTTCAAGTGTGACTTTTTTCCTAAGATGTGATTAGTTTGTTTCAGGCCTACCCCGGCCTTTACTGTCCGACAGCAGTGGCCTATCTCACTAATGCTCCTTTAGCAGAATGGGAGCAAATTCATACAGACAGGTTATTGATGAAAAGCCGACCCAAAGAAATGGATACGTTTTTAGAAGTATAATAATGCCATTGGTTTTGGAATGACATCTTCAACGATCACACATAGACGCTCAGGTGTCCACATACTTTTGGTCATATAGTGCCGATCAAGAGGGATCGTCTGCCATGTTTGGAAACGTTACTACTCATCTCTATGTCTCACTCTCTCGCTGTTTCATTTCAACCCACAACTCTCTCGAGAAGATGAAAGCGTAAACAAATGATACATCGCTTGTTAATAACAACAGAAACGCTGCTCAGGCACGTAGCGACCAGCGCTACTAATTAAACAAGTTCTGAGTGTGTGTGTGTGTGTGTGTGTGTGTGTGTGTTTGTGTTGCACCAGCATGTATGACTAAAGCCTTTCATTGTCATTTTCATTAGCGCTTTCTAATCATGGTAACCGTGACAAACCCTGAGTTTCTCTAATCATTTTATCAAGGCGAGGGGTGCACATGCTAACAGAGGTGGGGCAGCATGAGAAAACACATTTATCATTATGAGTGTTGAACACTGGCTGTGTGTGAGTGTGTGTGTGTCTGGCTTGTGCGAATGCGTCAGAACGAAAGCGCGCACGTTGAAGGTGTTAAATAATGTGTGGTTGTGTGTGTCGCAGCGGGTGGGTGCGGTGTTGAGTCGTTTATCACTGTAATAACTGTACATCAGGACTTTGTCCGGCTGTATTAATGTATGCTCGAGGTGCACAGGGAATCAGGACATAATCAATGCAAGTGATAAATATGATTAAAAGTGATTAATGATGATTAATGAAGGCCTCATCTCCATTACCTTCTCTCATTTCAAAATCACACCCAACTTACAGCTCCCATCACATAACCCATTGTGTGTGTCTGTGGTGTGTATGTGTGTGCGCACGCATGAGTGTGTGAGCAGCTCCTTCCAGTGCCCAATCAAGCAAATCATCAGCTATAGAGCATTTGAATCATTTCAGCTGAAGAAGAACTTCTTGAAAATCAACTGTGCCTTTCACTAAAAACACAAACAGAAATCAGGATGAATGAGCTGGGCTTGCCAATCACACTGATTATACTGACGCAATATCAGAGGACTGACCTGAGTCTCTTGGAGCTCTCCGCAGCAGCTGGGCCGGGGGTGGACTTGCGCTTGCGGGGGCGACCAGGCCCCCGGCGGGCAGGGCTACGAGACGTCTCCTCTTTCCTGCAGAGAAGAAGACAAGAAGGAGGAGGAGGCGGAGAGAGAGGGAGAGAGATCAAAGATGCAGTCCGGACAGCAGGAGAAATCAGGAGGAAACTTGTATCGGCTACAGGTCAAACTGCATTAGGTATGAGCAGGCAGCAAGTCCTGATAAATCAGGAGGATGCAGCATGACAGCAGAATTGTGAATGTTGGAACGCACGACTCAATCGAGACAAAAAGAAACGTGTGTGTGTGTGTGTGTGTGTGTGTGTGTGCACGTGTGTGTGTTGTCTGCTCACTGGTGGTCGTGTTTCCTCTGTAGCTTGGCCAGTTCTCTCTGTTTCTCTTTGTAGCGGCGCTGTAGCTCAGCCAGCTGGACACGCATGGCCAGCTCCTCCCCTCCCATCGTCTCCATGGAGCCCTTCACTGGGCACACCTGACACACACCGCACACACATGGATACACATACATGCACACACAGTCACACACAAAGCAGGGGAATTTCAATGCTGAACACAAACTGAGTTCAACAGTCACTGGATATGTTTGGGCAGCTCGACAATTGGATGGATTTTTCCTGTAACTAGAAGTTTGGTCACTACAACAGTTGGTCTGTGTCAACCATTTACGCTTAAAAGCAAGGATTTCTGGGAGATCAGCCTAATGCTGCATGTAAAAATATAGGTAACAATATAGGTAACCAGCATCAACAAAAGTAAAGAGAACCTTTAAGTGATTTAAAGGTTATTTCTGCACCTATTATACTGTGAACTTTTACACCCGCTGGACAAAATTTGCACATCCCTGCACAACTGTGTCACTTTAATACCTTTAAAGTGACACAGTTGTGCAGGGATGTGCACAACTGTATTAAAGTGACACAGTTGTGCACATCCCTGCACAAGTGTGTCACTTTAATACCTTTAAATATTTACATAGTCTTTACATATCACCATATTTTTTTAATATTCTACTGTAATTATTTGTACATTTAATTTTACATTTGGTCTTTGTATTTTTTGCACTGTTTAAATTTAGATAATTTAAAATATTCAAAATATTCACTGTAAGTGTAAAGTTGCTTAGCAATTTTTGATTCTGATTCAGATTCATTTATATTTTATTGTTTATTGAATTTTTAAATTTAAAACTAAACATCATCATTTATTGTAGCCGGATTTATTTCTGGGACTATTTAAAGACAACAAAAGTGTTATTCCACCATGCATCAGGTGGTGATAGTCTCACATCAATTTCACACTTGACGGAATCAGTAAAAAATATTTCTTGCTAGGTCAAAATCATATTTTGTTAAAATATTTACCTTTTAATTTCAGCACAAAACTGCAAGATTCAACCACATAAAAATTACATCACTTCTCATTTCACCTGAAAGCTACAACAGTTATGTCATTACCACAGAGGTAATGATATTTGTCTGACTACAGTGTTTGCACGGATGATTTTAAACTGTCCATATTTGCACCACTAACTTAGGTGTAGTTTTTTGGGGGGGTTGCAGGGGGACACGTCCACCTCAAAAAAACCTCGTGGAGTGTGTGTGGAGGACTTTTACTTTGACAAAATAAAAGACATTTAAACAATAAACTGATGCACAAAAAATGGTGCAGAAAAAAAATCACCAGAATGCGGGAAATTAAGTGTTTGATGCTGAAAATTTTCTTGCCCCCCAAACTCCTTGTTTCATAGGTGCACCCCACCAATATTAAAACAAAATCTCCACCCTTGATCACTAAGGACACTTAAAACTTCATTATTATTGCCATGCAGCATTTGGAGGTAATTGTTTTAGTACAGTATGGTATCTCAGGTCCAGTGCAAAAAAAGAGAGATGAGAAAAAGAAACGTGCAACGTACACCATGAAAAGTGCACACAAGCAAAATGTACAATGGTTGATGTACCAGTAGAAACCAGTATGTGCTTTGGGCTAATTTCTTTCAGCTGCTTTGAATAAAAGCATCAGATAAAATCCTAAAATATATATATATATATATATATATATATATATATATATAGTATCATGTTTGGGTTTTAACAGTTCTTTAAAGCAAAGACAAAAATATGTGTGTCCATTGTTCAACACTTCCCCATATTTTCAGCATGAATGATTTATGTTTGCATGCATAAACACAAAATATGCATTCAGCAAAGCCTCACCGGCTCGTGGCGAGGCGTCCAGCTGCACTTCCTGCGCAGGTTGATCCTCTTCCTTATTGGACACTGCTGGTCCGTCCCCCCACCGACAACCCCTCCCCCCATCTCCAGGGCACGGGCGGCCGCCAGCGTCGCCAGACTGTGGAGGTCAAAGGTCAGCATGTCCTCACCTGCGTGGAGACGGGTTGTTGCGGTTCAGATTGGTACATCACATGGCGGCTGACACAGCGTTATAAAACATGTTGTGCGAATTTATTTCTGGAACGATGAAACCGTGCCTTGAAAAGTGGTGATATTTATGATATTAGCTGTGTAGTTTATTTGATGTACGCTAGTGTTCCTGCTTAATCGTACACAGGCAAACGACACAAACACACACACACACACACACACACACACACAAGGGGGGAGCGGTAGAGAACGATCTCTACATCTGTCACTGTCATTAACTCTGTCATTGTCACAGCACCAGCAGATGAAACAGAATATTCATGAGACGCTCCACACACACATGTAAACACACACACACACACACACACATCTATGCAAATAAAACACACTCATTCTGAACACACACGTGCACCTACAGCATTTTCGCTGAGCAGCGCAGACATGGGCACGAGTGTGTGAGGGAGAGTAGGAGAGAAGGAGAACGGCGGGCAGGAGGAAAGGAGGAGGAGGAGTGCAACGCAGAGAGAAGAAGGGAGGGAGGGGATGGGGAGTAAAGGGGAGGAGAAGCAATAAGAGGCAAAGTGTTTATTGAGCTATCTATTTATTCTCCTACATCTCCTCATTATGGACATGGACAGAATCCAATTTCCCCTTTCGAGGAGAGGAGAGGAGAGGAGAGGAGAGGAGAGGAGAGGAGAGGAGAGGAGAGGTTTTTACTGGATCACTCTGTGCACTGGAGCTGCAAGGCCTATTCACTGACATCTGACGTTATTAAAACCTGTGTGTGTGTGTGTGTGTGTGTGTGTGTGTGTGAGCAGGAGATGGAGACCAAGATGCAGTAAACAGAGAAGAAAGAGGAGGGCAGGCACGAAGGATGGAGTCTTCATCTTTTAAAAAAAGGAGACGGGAACAGACGGGATGTAAGAACGACAGGTAACTCCTTAGAGGGAGAGACAGAGCGAGCGGGAATGAGAAGAGAGACGCGGCTTTGTCCTGTCCCGGCTCGCAGAGGTCAGTGCCATCTCATCTGTCAGACCTCTGAGCCAATGGCACGCTCCGATTACCCTGACAGGATGACATCACCGCTGACATCACCACGCCTAGTTTAGTATCCTGGAGGATGGCCACAATCAATAGATACCTTCCGCCCAAAGTATACCACCCACACACACACACACACGAACACACACATATCTTTGCACAGTAATAACACCATACTGTGTCCCTAAAGGGAGTGACGGGTGTAATAAGAGGCGGCACAGGGGATTTCAAGGGGAAAAACAAAAACAGTGGAGGAAAATTAAAAACCATTACAGTTGATATGGGCCTAGGCGTCATTAGAGGCCATTAAGGAAGTTTATTGAGCTGAAATTTTAATATAAAGGAAACATGAAGGAATAAAGGAGACTATGACACAAACAGCTCCTCTGTCTATGTGTAAATAGAAGTAATGGTGCTAATTTATACTGGAGGGGAAAGAATCTCTTGATTCCTTAATCTGTAATTGCAATCTCCAGTGAATGGCTGAGATATCCTTCCGCGTCAAGGAGCGGCATAAATGCATCTGTCTGGGATCGGTTTCATCTCCCAAACACATTCAGGATGACAAAAAATGCCACGAGCGGTATTAATAACATTCCATGCGGCGAGGACGGAGCGGGTTTTAAATAAATGTGTTGCAATTTGGAGAGCGTTTTCCACGCCACGACAGGACTTATTGATTTCACACCTATTACACATGCTAAGCACGTGCGTGCACATGTAAACAAATGCACACACACACACACACACACACACACGCCTGTTCTCATGCACAGACAGCTGCAGAGCGACTTATGATTTTTACACTTATTAATTCTGTCGACAAGGCTTGCAGAGGCAGGATTTACACACAAGATTACATTGGTTTAATAAAAAAAAAAGAAAAAGAAGAGGCAGGTGAGGGGGAAAAAATAACAAAGAGGCAGGAGGAGGAGGCGCAGGCAGGGAGCAGGCAGCCTGGTGGAGAGACACATAGACTCTGATGGAGGAGAGCAGGGATTCATCTGGGATTACTTAACAGCTTACACACACACACACACACACACACTGCCGTGCACGCACGCACACAAATGCGGGTGGACGTACACACACAGATGCTGGCATAAATAAAAACACTTTCTCTCAGAGGGACGAGAGGAAAATAGGAGCGCTTACAGGAGAAGTGTTTTAAAGGAAAGGGTCTAATTAGCAAAGCAAGACGCCAGAGCCTGGGGGACACACTGGGCAGAGCATGTGTGCGTATGTGTGTGTGTGTGTGTGTGTGTGTGTCCTGGCTTGTGTCTGAAGCTCAGCTTGTTTGTCCATCTCTGTGTCCCCTCCAAACACACACACACACACACACCCTTCCCAAAGGGGAAAATATGGTCTATGGGCAAGAACAGAGAGTCCGAGTTGAGGAAGGAAGCAGGACAGTTAGTGGGAAATGTATGTGTCTATGTGTGTGTGTGTTGAGTTGAGTCGCCACATCTGGGTTGCACACGTATGCCAGGCCCCTTTTTTAGTTCACTGTGTGTGTGTGTTTGTGCAGTCAAGACAGAAGTAAGGTAACTTTTTTTCCTTTTTTCCTTGATCTGATTTTCAAGGGCATGTTGGTCCTTTTTACTGCAACAAGATGATGTAAATTGTACACAGGATGTGTTAAAAACGCCTAATTATTAGGGACATCAGCACATTTTTGGTTTCATTTTGCAAGTGTTTCATATACTTTCAAAGGTTTTAAAAAGAGGTCAATCTGTTAAATAAGGTTGGAGAGCCACAGCAGAAGAAAAGAAACACAAACTCACCCTCCGTGTCTTTCTCTCTGCTCTCTCTGCTCCTCTGCTGGATCTCCAGCTCCGCAAGTTCTCCCAGTATCTCCATACCATGGTGTGGTGGAGGGCTTGGGGCCTGGATGGCAGGTACTGGTGGATACATGGCATCTCTGGTGGCACACAAAGTTGCAGCAATCAGGAGCTCTAGGCTCCACATGTAGGCCCCTTGGAGCTGAGCCGCTGTGCTCGCTGCAGGAGGGAGGGGGTCAGAGGACTGGGAAGGAGCAGGAGAGTTTAACTTTAGTTCCACCGAATCCTCGCCTGGACTCATCCCACTCCCCTTCTCCTCCTCCTCCTCCTCCTCCTCCTCCTCCTCCTCAACCACCTCTACATTCTCTTCGTCTTTGCCCCCATCCTCCTCCACCTCCTCCTTCTCCTCCACTCCAAATACAGAGTCAGTACATTCTGTTGGTTCAGGCCCCATTTTCTCCCCCTCATCCTCCTCCATGTCCTCTTTTCCATGCTCCTTATCATCCTCCTGCTCTTTGGATAGTTGAGGCTCCTCCAGGCTGGCCTTCTGGCCCAGGCAACCCAGAGAGAGCTCTACTTTTAGGGCTTTGCCTGTGGCTGTGGCCGCGCATGCTGGATCTGGAACTGGAGTTGGGGAAGGGCATGGCGGCAATCCAGAAATCTCACTCTCGGGCTCGGAGCATCCCTTTGCTTTCACCCTCCTTTCTTCCTTCTCTTCCTCTGCAACTCCACTCTGGGCTTCCACCGCTTCATAGTCTCTCCCATCCTCTTCTTCCCTCCTCTCCTCTTCTTCAGTGAGAGGCTGGATGTGGCACGGAAGTGGGAGGGACTTGGATTCAGGTTCTGCCGGCTCCGCCTCCACCGTGGCTTGCTCAGCCAGTCGGGCTTCGGGAGGCGAGGGCCCGGCCTTGTAACCCATGGTGAGCAGAGGGTAGGTGTAAACAGGTGGCAGATCTGAAAGACAGAGGAGAACACAAAGGTCAAATAGGTCTTCTGACATAAAACCGTTTTCAGAGTCTGACAAACTGCACATAAAATTTATTTACAGGCATCTACAGAAAATAGAAAATCTCCATTGCCTTTAAGTCAGGCCCTTTCCCTTTTAAATTCATTGCCTTTCTGTTCAGGCAGACAGGATGAAGCACGTGATTACAGTTGGCATAATACACTGACAGCAGGGTGCAGAAAACACGGGGAGTGTGTGCTTGCGTGTGTATATGCACAGCAGTGTATATTATATGTACTGTATGTGTGTGTGGGAGTGTGTGAGTGAGTGTATAGATCTATGTGGGATATTGATGACACCCTGCCGTTTTCCTGTGATTGCAGCGCCGGCCCTGTCACCCCTGCGCTCTTATTATTGATGGTATCCCTCCGCCCCCTGACAACACAGCCAGATGAATGCGTATCCTTCCGCCTGTACTTCTCAAGGACCCCTGAAGGATAAGGAGGGCCTGTCTGAAGATTTTCACTGACCTTCCTCTCATGACACACATGCAAGCTCGGACGCACACATGCATGCACGCTGGCAGGTCACACATACACACACTGAGTGCCCATATGCTTTCTCTGACCTTAATGGCTGACCTGCCCGCTGTCCCTCTTTAGCTTTCACAGAAAAAAATTGCACACACACACACACACACTCAAGGACACACAGAGCAAGGGATCAGCCATGCTTCAAACAATTTCTGCAAAATCAAAAGAATACCACGCTTCAAAGACCCGTGCTACATTTCTGCAGCAGCACCCTCCATCTCTCTTTTTTTTTTTCTCTCACACTACGTCTCTCTATCTCTGTGTCTTTGTCTCTCAGAGTTCTTCTTTAAATTCAGACATTGTGCTCATTAACCATCCTACAGACTTCTCCACACTCACCTGGCTCTAGGGATTGCGGGTAGTCCTGAGGTGGCTGCCCCTCTCCTCTGTCACTGCCCCTCTCCAGCCCCTTAGAGAGGTGCGAGGGAGCAGGGCTGAGTGCCGGGGAGCGGGGCGCTGCTGCAGCCGGGCTCGGCGCAGGGGTCAGCGGGTTTGGTGGGTGCGGTCGCCTGGATGGGGAGTGGTAGCAAGGCGACTGATGGCTGCTGGGACACATCCCTGGAGATGGCGTGGGCGTCTTGGGTGGAGGAGGGGTATGGGAGAAAGGTTTGGCCACATGAGAGGAGGTGGTGGACGAAGAGGAGGATGAAGAGGAGGGAGTTCTGGATGCGGAGGATTCATGAGGAGAGTCGTCTATGGTGATGGCTTGCTCCTCGGCTTTTCTCTATGGAAACAGAGAGGAAGAAAAATGTAGTTCATGGAATAATCCTCAAAATGTTTGTATAAATACATCATTTTCATATTAATTAAAATATTTCAACCACAGCAATTCAACCCATTTTTTTTTAAATTAAAGGTCCAGTGTGTAGTATCTGGGGGGATATACAGGCAGAATAGAATATAATATAGTATGTTTTCTGCAGTGTATAATAGCCTGAAAAAAAGAAGTGTGTCTTTGTTACTTCAGAATGAGCCATTTATATCAACACAGGGAGAGGGTCCTTGTCCGTGGAGATGCACAGCCATGTTTCTACAGTAGTAAGTAGTAGTAAGATAAATAGGACACAAACAGAAATACCAAAATATTTCCAGACAGAAAAGCCTTAAAAAATAAGAAGTCCCCGTCTCAGCCACACTGATTGCCAAATAATATGACAATGTGAGAGTGCAAAAGCATCACACCCACGCCTCTTTATTAATGAAACCTTAGTGCCAACAAAAAGAGGAAGTCATTGGTTCAAATAATTATTGCTGACTGTGACTTTGCATATGCCTTTCTTTCAGTGTTGAGAAATATGTGCTGAGAGATCTTCAAACAAATGATTAGCAGTGCTGCATCTTAGTCCTGGCTACTGAAAGAAGGAAGATGGACTAAACTTGCACAAGTTAACAATATTTCCACACTTTCTAGTTCTCTTTCGCAAACAGTTTCACAATATGTTAACAGCATTTCACAAGTTTAGACTACGATGTGACTACTATCCCTACCTGTCCTAAGGAGTGACGCTGCATGTGCTCCATGGCTCGCTGCTGCTGCTGGTGCTGATGCTGCAGGGCGTACAGCTCCTGTTGCCGCAGGAATGAGGAGCGGGAGTAGACGGGGTGATGCTGCAGGTGAGAAGGAGGGCCTCTGCCTCCGTACACAGGGGGCCACAGACCTGACTGCTCCAGAACGTCTGGTGTAGGAAAGAGAGAGAAAGAGACAGATAGGAAAATGAGAGTCTTTAGCATACTGTTTGATTTGAATCATAGAACTGGTACCAAAAAAGAGGAAAATAAGACATTTCTATTGGCAAAGTTTTTGAATATATAATCAAAGCAAAACAGTCGGTACAGAAATATTATCATGGCTGCAGCGTCACAGGGAAGTCATAAAGAGAAACTGTGTCAATGGACTCTTGAATTGCTCTTTTGAATATGTGGGATTGCAGAATAGCTCCACCACCTTAGCTAGAGATGTAAAAACTGTGAGCTGTGTGTCAGCCTCAGACACAATCAATGAATGCATGCTTCACATCCTCCATTCACCTTCTTTAATTCTTTCTATTTCTAATGATGGTGGTTCTCTATTCAGGGAAACACACAGTTTCTTCAAAGCCCCACCCTGGGCACATATGAATTCAGATACACACACACACACACACACGTACATACACACACACCCACGCACATACAACACATCCCTCCTTGGCTGCCTTGTCGCTGGGAACCTTTGTTCTGTGAGATTAGCCTGAGTGGGCTAATGTTTCCCAGGGGAAGGGTTCAGTGGATGCACTTCCCCTCTCTGCAGGAACTCCCACGGAGCGAAGCAAGGGAGGCGGGAGATAATTAAATTTCACAGCCTGTTTGCAAAGCAGCGTTGATGCGCGCGCACACACACACACACACACACACACACACACAAAAGGCACACACACTCTTTTCTCTCTGTAGCAAAGGCTGAGATGTACAGCACAACCTCTAACACTGAGCAATGTCTCATGTTGTTCCAGACATGAACACAACTAACTTTAGATGTTCACACACACTCATACACACACACACACAGACACACAGACACACACATCCACACACACACACACACACACACACACACACACACACACACAGAGTCCAGTGCTCCATTACGAAAGAGATGAACGCCAGTTAAAATGGTTTGCATAACGCTGGGCACATGCAGAGGGGGGCAATGGAATGGCTGCTCCCATTAACGAAGCTATAAAACACAGTCCCACTGACAGAGGGACTTAGTTGAGCATTATATTATGATTAGCCAATGATACTAAAACTCTGGGAGAGAAATGGCAGCGGCTCTGATGGTACAAATGGAGAGAAAGAAGGAGGTAGGGGGCAGCAAGTACGGGTAGACAGCGATGTATATGGGCTGTGCTGGATGTATATGTGTGTGCGCTGGTGTAAAAGAGTGCTTAGCATACCAAGGTGATGATGAGGCCCAGTTTCTGTAGGAAGAACCACCAGCGGGGAGTTGGGGTCTTGGGTGAGTGACCCTAAGACTGGCTGCAGAGGGCTGGGCAGACCTGGCGGGAAGCCTGGGCCCATTCCCACATGGCTCAGACCTGGAATTAAGATAATACAAAACAAAGTCAAATGAGGGCAACATTTAAATACTTATTTTACTACTCCAAAAAGATAGTGGTGTGCTCCTTAGAGGGTAAATCTTCAGACTGACTTAACCAGCAAAAAAAAATAAAATAAAATAAAAAAAAAATCACCAGTGCTCTTCAAACATGCAGAAAAGAGGGAACTTCAGCTTGAAGTAGTAATGAAGAGTTCTGATAAAATGCCTCTGCTCCTCTATGTGTGAGTGCCTGAAGTTTTTTCTTCTCCTCTACATGTTTGATTTTGCTTGCTCATCTCTGTGGCTCATTCATATGATGCAGTTGCCATTCAACCAATAGCTTTTCAGTTAAAGTTTTTACATTTAATGTTCTAAACAACTTCTGGACCTCTAGATTCAGCATTATTATCAACAATGGCACCATGGTTGAACAAAAGAAAGAACAACAAAGACAAACATTCATCAATATGAAATCCAAGGAATGTCCCACATGACCCCTGATCCAATGTTATCACTCGATTAAATGGCTGTTATCAGCCTCATAGATATGGGTTAGAAGGCTCCTACTACATCAACCAGTAGGTTCAGTATGCCATTACCAGTCCATTAAATGCCCATATTTATTATTATGTGGTGACAAAGAAAGCCAGGTGAGGTAAGATTAGTATAAAAAGTATGAAAGTGTATGCACAGAGTTGGTTGGGGTGGTGGACGGGTCAAACAAACTCAGGACTTTCACCCAGGAGATGGTGATTTGTGTTCTGTGTGAAACCAGAAGTCACCATTGAGTTATTTGGTACATGTAACGTATGTCACGTAACATTATGTTAGTAACAAACATACCTACATTAAACCAAACCATGATGTTTTGTTTTTTTTTCTAAATCTAACCATGCAGTATTGGCACCTAAACCAAACGAAAGTAATAGTGAAACCTAATGAAACTGCTCCCGATGCCAACAGGCATTTAATGGGCTGATATCGACATTCTGAACCTACTAGTTGGTGTAGCAGGAACCTGCTTACCCATATCTGTGAGGAAGATATTCACTATTAGCGTCCATTTAATCAAGTGATGACTTTTGAAAAGGTTGCCACATACCACCCACATTGACTAACATGATCTCAACAAAACAGTACAGAACAAATTAATCTTAAAATGACGAGCATTAAAGGTGTGGACCATGTTGTACATATTAAGAAAAACTGTGCTCACTGGCTGCAAAGACAACATGTGCTGCTCCCATTCTACTCACTATATGAATGCCCCATCCAGAGGGAGGGACTTCCTGTCCTTTGCATCCAGTGGTGGTGAGCCGGGTGAGCAGGGTCCGCCCCTAACCTACTGGCCCCTCCGGGAACCAAGAGGTGAGAGGTCAGGTCACCGTGGCAACTACTGGAAGGGTGGATCCTGGCGAACTCCACGCGATCCTTGTTCTCCCTGTTGTGGCATTAGGCGGGGTGAACTTTGTCATTATCTTGATTATCCCCCTTATTGTCACCATCATCATCACCACCATCATTATGATCATTATCTTCATCCTTGTCATCTTCATTACCACTACTACCATTATAATCATCAAGAAAAGGAAATGTGACGGCAACAGGAACAGCCATCATCTTGTGCCTGGTCTATGAGTTCTCATTATATGTTTTCTTCCCTTAATATGACTACATAATAAGAGCCTGATACTTCAGAGACATCCGTATTAGTCCCCGTAACATTAATGCACCACATCTCATCTTAGAGAGAAGGAGAGAGAGAGGGGAAGAGAGGGAGAGAGTGAGGGGGCACAGAAATACCACATCAAAGGGTGAGAAGAGTAAATGGAGTGAGGGGATGAGAGAAAAGGGAACCAGAGCCTCAGACTAGGAAAGAGAAGCCAAGAGAATAAAAGAAATGTAGCTTATCAGATGAGAGGAAAAAATGAATAGATGCTACCAAGTGCATGTGTGTGTCTATGTGAACTTAAGTGTACCTGATGATCATTTCTCTGTCTCTGTCCAAGTGATGAAGGCTGATCTGTTCTTCTGTCATCCTCTTCCTCTCCTCTGCCTCCCGACCGAGTGGATACACAGGGCGTGACACTCCTGAATTGTAAATATGATCAGAGCAACATGCTTATAATACCTGTTAATACCTCACAGATATCATTAGATAGTAATAATACTGTTTTAAACATGCATGCTTCTATTCACATTTTCAAAGGAAAAAGCATACCTGCAAATATTCATACACATTATGTCATATTGTGATGTTTATTGCGCGCAGGAAATTGAACCTTCAACATGCTCCCTATATTTCATTACAAAAACTAATGTTCTACAATTCTTAGGACAACCACTGCTCATGCATGAATCTGTATGCCCCTTTACAATGAATTTCTTCCCACCAGTAGCTGTTGTCGAGTATTTAATCTTGGATTTTTCCCTTAATGCAGCCTACAGCACAGAAATAGCATTAATTGACTTTCAGCACAGTAATGATGTCTGACCTTTCATGCTGGGCAGCACCCTGCCCTGTCTGCTGTGTCCAGGGGTGTTGTCTGGGGAACGATGGGGAGGCCTGGCTACCGCAACCGCAATACCCACCGGAGGCTGACGCACCTCCCCCTCACCTGCCTCCCCCGCCTCCTTTCCACCTCTGTCCCCTCTCTCTCCCTCGTTAGTGGAGCCTCGGCGAGGAGGAAGCGATTGTTTGGGAGGGTCTTGCGGCGAGGTGTTGCTTTTAGCTCCTCCCCTGTCGCACTTTTCTGATCTCTCTCCACCCTGTTTGAGGCAGCCCAGACCTCCAAAGGGGCCCCGCTGGGGTAGCAGCAAAGGCTGCTGGGAGCTGTAGTTCATTAGGTTCTTCATGGCACTGCCCTCGCCCTCAGTGTTGTGCGATGAGGAGCGGGATAGAGGTGGAGGCGGTTGAGAATGGGGTTGGTTGTGGTCACCGTTTGGAGCTCTGGTGCTGAGCCCTCTTACTTCACCATTACCAACTGATACATGATGGGAAGCTTTTCTCTGGTCCTCTTGGTAGCCCACTCGAGCCCCCCAGGAAGGTGCTATCTGACCTCCGTCTCTTCCCCTCTCTTCTGTACTTGCTCCATGGCTGCTGTGCTGCTGGTGCCTTATCCTTGCAACCTTTTGCCCCTCCCTCTGAGATGTTGCCCCTGACCCCATCCTCCCATCAGGATGAGGACCTGAGTGTGAACAGTCCCTGAAAGGAGGAGTGCTGGTGTCGGTGCCATTCTTGGGTGTGCCCTGTCCAGCACCAGGGTGTGTCCCTTGGGCCTCTAGTGGGAGAGAGGGCCGGTAAACATCGTCCACAACCTCTACATCTCTGAAGGTTGAGGACCTGTCCAAGCTGCAGGACCGCAGCTCAGTCTGAGAGCTCACATTGGAGCTGGGTTTGTGGAAGTGCTGCGTCTGTTGGCTCCAGTCAGGAGGTTTGTCAGCCTTGCCGTATCCCAGCTGCTGCTGATGTGGCTGAGATTTGTCCTTCTTTTGGCAACTACTTAGTAGGCTAAGGTGATGAGAGGGACTTTCATAAGATCCTTCCCCACTCTTGTCATCTGACTTTCTCCCACCTCCTCCTGCTCCACGGCAGTCAGTGGCTGCCAGGTCTCCCAGTGGCCCAACTGAGGGCACGTAAGTTGGGCCAGTTACTTTTGCCTCCCTGCCAGACCCTCCAGGGGAGGACGCTGGATCTTTGGAGGGCGTCAGTGTAAGAGGTGCTGGGGGACAGTAGAACTCAGGATGAGGGTGGTGATGTGCATGGTGCAGCCACCCTCCTGCCACTGTGGAGCCCATGTGCAAAGCATGAGGAGGAGGTGGCGGAGGGGGAGGAGGAGGCATGGAGTAGGAGGCCACAGAGTGGGGGTTTGGAGGTGCCAAGATGGCTGTTACTGCAGCCGCACCTCTTCTCATACATTCATTAGAAGAAGCTGAGGATTCGCTGATCCTCATCTCCCCGTTTATGGCTCCATCCTTGGAGCACCGCCTGCCTGCTCCAGATGGAGGTCTACCCACCCCACCACCGCTGCAGCTGCTCAGTGCTCCCCCTTTTCCTCCAGAGCCAGTCTCTGCTCCTGAACTACTGGACAGTTTACAGGCACTCATGTGTTTCGTATCCTGACTGCCTGAGTCACTGTCTCTGTACTCCTTGTGTCGCTCCAGAGAGTGTCTGTGGTCCTCCTCCCTGCTCTGTGGTGTGAGCTGAGGGAGGAGGGCGTGGTGAGGGTGGGGGTAGGCTTGGTGGTGGTGACCGGATGGAGTGGTGGCAGGGTTTGTCTGATGAGGATGGTGATGATGAAGCTGATGCTGTTTGTCTTTGCCCTCCTGGTGCCGCTCCTTGCTGCTTGATCGCTCCTTCGTCTTTGACACAGATGAAACTCCTTTCTCGCCCACATCCTTGGTGCTCTTCCCGCCTCCTCCCCCATTGTCTGTCTCTCGGCTGCAAGAGCCAAGTGGGTGGCCTGGGGCAGTCCTGGACAGCGGAGGAAGGCTGTGACTGGTGGAGAGCAGAGGGGGCTGGGGAGGAAGGCCTCTCAGGTAGAAGTGATCTGGAAGAGAAGAGAGGAATTAAAATGACTTAAGGTGAAGTTTTGTTGAAATCTACAGAGAATCTACGACCTGTTGTGCTTATTTTCAGGTTCATACTTGTACATTATATTTCCACTAGAACATGTTTACATGCCTTAATCTCAAAGAAACAAACAAATAAATCGCTTAATTTTCCTGTAATCACCCTCAGTCTGTAACATTCCATTTTAGCGCTGATCTCAGTGCTGTTTCCCATGATGTTAGCATGTAGCTACATGTAGCAGTGTGTGCAGCTGGAGAATGACTATGTATAGCGGCACTTTCTCTCATTAAAACTCAACGATAAAAGCCTCCAAACACAAACAGACATGTTCCAGCAGGAATATGACAACAAAATCGTGGAGAAATTAACAACCTCAGCAACCAAGATTACATGTTTCCCTAATGTTAGCATGAAGCTACATGTAGCAGTTTATGTAGTGCAAACACTTGCAGCAGCATGCCTGGAGTATCTGACCATATAAAGAAGTCTGACATCAGCTTGTAGCCAAGGTAGAAAAACATTTTGAAACAGAGTATTTATAACGATCTGAAGCCTGAGCTTTTTGCTCACAGGGATTATTTTACATACATTTACCTCATTATTTAAAACATTTGCCATGTCTATATGAATATCTGACATTTTAACACATTATATACAGTATGACTGAAAATAAGGGAAAGCATAATGGTTCCCCTCTAAATGTTAGCTGCAAAGTGGGTTAAAAACATTATTTTTCATATTATTTTTCTAAAATTAAATATGTTAATAGATATGTGGAGAAAAAAAAGAAAGAAAAGTTGTCTGACTGTAAAACTAGACCCAGTTACCAGCTGCTCTTACTCCTGTGGTGAGTGCTGATTAAGCAGTTTGGGAAGGTATATATAAAGCAATTTTTTCACGCTGTCACATTCACACACACACCAGCACCCACCTTTCTGAGTTTCATAGAAGCGGTGCTGTCCATAGAGACCGTTGCTATGGTGATCCAGAGGACTCATGGGGAGGAAAGGAGAAGCAAGACTTCCTGAATAGCTGGGGTACCCTGTCAGAGGGAGGGAGAGGGAGAAAGAATTGATGTCTCTCCGCAGCGTTGACATTCAGCAGCCCTCTAAACAAACAGTTTATCTCTACAATCTATCATGAAATGGGGCCATTTTGGAAAACACAGACAAAAAATATGGCCAGTTAGTGCTACTTTCACCATAAATGCACTTTTGCACAAACACGCCACATGAGTTGACATTATTTACAGTGGACAAAGTGGTGACAAAAACCACAGCAGACAGCTACTGCCAAGTGTTTGCAGCATTTAACTGGATGGAATTTGCTCTTCTACAAAACACATTTTTCCCAAACCCAAGACAAATAGTATGAAGCATCGCAAAAAACCCCCTCCTTAAAACACACACACACATAGACACAGTCCTCCCAGGAGGTCACTGGGAGGTGAATGGTCGTTCCACTCTGTTCCTTGTCTTCAAGGACGTTGAACTGCATCACACGATAGAGGAGGTCTTGGTGGTTTGTGTTGGTGGGGGCGGATGGATGTAGGGATGGGTGAGGGTCGTTGTGTATGTGTTCAGGGTTGTCGTTGTGGTTGAGGGAGGGGTGTTATTGGGGGGGGGAAACAGCAAAATCACCACAGGCCCATGCAAATACACAAGTACACAAACACCACATAGGAGGCACACAACTCCACATTAAGGGGCCAAAAGGTTTGAATTGTGTGTGTGTGTGTGTGTGTGTGTGTGTGTGTATGTGTGAGTGTGTGTGTGTGTGTTCTCCAGCAGCTGGTTTCATGCCCCACAGAGTGTCCTTGCCGGCCCGTTAATTGGCAGCCGTTAAAAGTTTAACGGTGGTGGCCAAAGTAAACAGCACTCCATAAAAACTCATCCTACGCATTCCACAGTCGCACTGCAAAACCACCAACACCCCCTCACTGCTCCCAGCATGTGTGTGTGGGACTCTGTGTGTCTGCGTGTTCATGCTGCAATGTAAATGCATGACTGTGTACACTCCACTGTGTGTGTGTGCGTGTATGTGTGTGTGATTACTCTGACTGGTTAACAACCAGTGAATCTAAATGGCGACAATTAGCCAAAAGGCTCCATCAGCCATCTAAAGCCAATCCCCCGGGTAATGATGAGTGATAAAACTCAGGAGGGAGGGAGGGAGGGAGGGGAGATGAGAAAGAAGACGAAGAGGGGAACAAAGACGGCAGAGGGACACGGTGGGAAAAAGAAGGAGGGGGAGGAAGAAAGGAAAGGAGGGAAGGGAAGAAAGAATAGATGAGGTTAGCGATTGAAGGAGCGATGTAAAGACAGTAAAAGTAAAGGAGACACCAGAAGAACAGCGCTGTCAATATGAAAAGCCCCCAATCTGGTGCTGCTGTGAGGCGTATGGAGAGGGGAGTTAGTGTGTGTGTGCTGTGGAGGGTGTGTGTGTGTGTGTGTGTGTGTGTGTGTTGAGGAGGGTGTGTGTGTAAGTGTGTGAGGGGGGATGGAAGATGAAGGAGGAAGTGAAAGGGAAGTGGAGAGCTTTGAGATGGCTGAGATGAGAGGAAAGAGGAAAGGGAGGTAAGGAGACGAGCGAGAGCACAAAAAACAAGGACAGGTGTGGGAGAGGGAGAGTGAGGCGGTGAGTGAGAGGATAGGTGTGTGTGTGTGTGTGTGTGTGTGTGTGTGTGTGTGTGTGTGTGTGAGGGAGAGAGAGAGAGAGAGAGAGAGAAAGAAAGACTTTTGCATGTGTGTGTGTGTGAGGGAATATGTGCTGTTTTTCAAACAACTGTGCATTTCTTCGTGAATATGTCTCATCTGTGACTGTGTGTGTGTGTGTGTGTGTGTCTTCTCAGTGTGTGTGTGTGTGTAGTGTGTGTATCGGCCAGGTTTCTTCTCTCTGTGCTGGCTACGCTCCACTCTCTGGACCGTGGCCAGCTGGCAGACCGCCTACCGGAGCTCCCTGGCTTGAATTCTTAAAAACAATCATTTGTAGTGTGCGTGCGCGTGTCCGTGCACGGGTGTACGCATGTGTGTGTGCGTGTGTGTGTTCAGACATCAAAGCCGAGCCACACAGACACAAAATCTGTCTCCCTCTGCACACACACACATTCTTGCTCTCTTTTCACTGCCGCTGCTCTCTCTTGCACGCTCGTTCATGTCGAAGTCCTGCCTCAGACTCTTTCTATGAATCTGATTTAAGACAGTCACTCCAGGCAACATTAGCGTTCATTTTCGGGGTTTAACTGTTGCTATTTATCGCTCGATGAGCTGCAAATGAGGCAGTTGTACAAACAAAACTCTTGTCTCCTTTCAAGCTTTAAAGCTGCATCAGGAGAGATTTCTGTATTAAAAAAACAGCTCTTACAAGTTCATTTTATGAGCTTAAATTACAAATGTGGACCACAGTGGAGAAGTGTCCTGTTTCCATGAGTGAGAGACACAGTGTTCAACTTATTGGCCCAAATTAAATTCTGGTGTGTACACATTTTCACCAACAGGATGTGACACATTAAAACTTTAAGGAGGGAAATAAAAACTGTCTCATAAACAGCAGCGTCCTCCAGAAAAAGTTGGACAGAGCATCTTTTGCTTCTCTTCCTCTCTGTACAAAGCCATTAAAAGTTGATATGACTTTTCTTGATTGCACCAAAATTTTGCATCTACAAATCTTGGCGCCTGGTAGAATAATGACAAGTAGACACTTTAATTCATGCTTTTTTTTCACAGCAGACATTTTGACATGTCATAGCAGGAGAAGCACAGGTGTAACTGATATAATTAATGATAGCTCCATTTAACCCTGCATTCATGTGGTGTCAAAATAATCGGAAAAATGAGTTGCCGACCGGGAAAATTCATGTGAACACCCCCTTAAGTCAGATCAACAACTCAGACAGTCAAAAATTTTGGTACACGAGTTGCTGTATTGACGTCACATGTGCAGAAACATGGAAGATGACAAAGTAAATGTTTGCTTGATGCTAATATAATACAGCACATCTTCTTTGTCGCGCCCATGTTGTTTCCACATCACAACTTAAAGCTCATGAACACACCAAAGTCAGAAGAATGACTTCCCAACATCATTTGAGGAGCATGTGAATGCAGCATAATGGTCCCAGTAAGCTGTGAGTCAGCATGCATAGTAACAGAACGCTGACTCACCTGAGTGGAAAGCAGCCAAATTAATGTTACTGAGTGATTACACCTGTGGTCTTCCTGCTATGTCAAAATGCAGTGGAAACGGCTTACTAATGCAGCAGTCAGAGAATTAGCCAAACAGCTTTACTTTGTATGATACCAGAGAGATGAAATGAAGTTAGTGCATTCACCGCAAGCTGACTGGTTTCCAGTTAATTTGTTGGCAAGAATATTTGGAGATGTCAAATATTTCCCCAAGGCGGCATCACTGGGTGTTATCGTTTACTCACTCGCATTTCTGGGGAAAAACTGACGAAACGTGAAATTCGGATTCTGACCGTTTTCACCGTTAGTTGAGAAACACAGCCTGTGGCGGAAGCTGTCTTTCCACTGAAGCCTTTTTTTGGAGGTTATCTGTTTAGACTCATCTCGCTGTCAAAAGAGAAATTCTCTTACACACACACACACACGCACGCACATACCTGAAAGGGACAGATAACTAAGTCAAGCTCACTCTTTGACCACAAACGGTTAACAGCCGAAAGAGGACATGATGCATGTGGATGCGCACATTTTTTGTGTGCGTGTGTGTGTCTGATCAGGAAGGGGGCCGTTGGAGGTCGGTTAGCCCAGAAGGGGCCCTGAGGGTGGGGCTGCGGTCAGAGGGAGGGGGGGCTGTATAGAGGGAGAGGATGGTGGAAATGGGGGTAAGTTTCAGTGTGTGTGCATGTGTGTGTGTGTGAGAGTGAGAGAGAGAGAGAGAGAGAGAGAGAGAGTGTGTGTGTGTGTGTGTGTGTGAGGGGGGGGGGTGTAGGAGCTCATGAAACTTAAAACTCACCCCTAAAAGAGAGCAGGGGGCTGAGAGATGATTGAGTGAAAGGAGGGGAGTGAATACAAGAAGGCTGAAGTGTATTGTGAATTACTGTTGGTCATGCTGTTTTTTTCTGTGCTGCATGAAGTGTATTTGTGTGTTTGTTTGTGTGTTTATGTGGCAAGAGGAAGAGGAAGGTTTTGGTCGTGCACCATTTTTGAGAGCGTCGCAGTGCGCTCGAGCTCTGAACTAGAAAACCGCCACAAACACAAAGCCACATGCTTGCTGACATACAGAGGCAGAGGAGGGTTGTGTGTGAGTGTGTGTGTGTTTCTATAAGTAGCATCATCTGAGGCGTCACTGCTGCGCGTGTTTGGCCTCAGCTCAGTGTTGGTTAAACCACTTAATGGCTCCATCACGATCTAATCCCAAACCAAGACCCTGGATTAACCAGAGACCCGAGCACTCTGGGCTGCCTCCTGCATGTGTGTGTGTGTGTGTGTGTGTGTGTGTGTGTGTGTTACCTTCATGTGAGTGGGGGAACCAGATAGGGGAAGCGCTCGAATGGGGTCCAGGCCTGTAGGAGGGGGAGGAAGGGGAGGCAGCAGGTCCCGAGGGGTGAGCAGGGTGGGAGGGCGGCGACCCCAGACTGCTGGCCAGGAAGGAACCCATGAAGGAAGCACCTGAGAGATGCAGAGGCTGGAGGTTAGCGAGGTGCACACGTATAAAATCTGACTCTAGCAAGAAAGGGGCGGGGGCTCAACTGAGATACCAATGAGCAAGCAACACCACAGAAGAAGTATTGGGAGAGCCTTATGTATGGCTGTTAAAGTGAGAAAGAGCAGCTGTGCAGTCAAACATCCTCAGAAGTTAAAAAAGGAAATGCTTCATGTTTTCTACACGTCTCAGTTTTTCACACTTATTTGAAAATGCTTCATGCACGTCTGCTTTTAAATCCTTTGACGATGCCTGTGATTTTCCACTTACGCCTAGTTATATAATATGTCGCTTGTTGCTCGCAAACACCCTGTTGCCATTAAGAAATAAAACATGGCACTGGACATGGTAATCTTCATCTTCAAAATATAAAGCATTTTCCGGCATTACGACAAGAGTTAAAACACTGTTTCAGGACCAAGAACCCAGCATGAGTTTGCGGCTGGATTTTTCTCCTGTTAGCAGGTATAAAGTCAGACACGGCAGATCTGGATGGTATTACTATAGCTGAGTAGTGCCGTAAAAAAATGAAATTTCATGACCTGCCCTAGAGAAATGAATCCCTTCAAGCTACATTCACATTGCAGCTCAAAGTGTCCCAATTCTGATCATATTTTCTCCTCACATGTGACACACATATCTGACTTTTTTTCTTTTAAAATTATGATCAGGAAAAAGCTTCAAGGACAGCTGACTTTTTTTTCTTCTCAGTTCTGATCTGAATGGGTATAAACTGGGGCCGGAGGCACATGGCTGACATACAGCTTGTATTTGAACGCTCACATAAGAGTTTGTCGATAATTTTCACCATAGACAGAGAAAACAGGGGCCACAAAAGTTGAAGTGAGTGTCTCATGAATTTCACTAATTAATTTTGTTTTGGTGGAGGTATTTTTGGGCCTAATTGGAGGTGTACTATGTTTGCATTACTTGTCAACGTCCTCTACACTCAGATTGACTTTAAGGGGCTCTGCGAAATTCAGAGCATATGAGTTGACTGGACAGAGTTCTCAACATGGTGGTGGCTGATCTTGCGGCTAGCAGCTAATGGTGATAACAGCATTAAAGAGAGCTGATGTTATTAACTGTGGGGGAAATGGAGGGTGGGCGCTACACTTCTGCAACAACGCTGTCCCGTTATCAGCAGTAAATAAGTGATTTTAAATATTGTTAATTGTTGTGTTGTGCTTTTCTTCTGGTGCTGGTGTTATGTGCAATACATGAATGGCTGATGTGCCATACTGATACGTTTTTTATGTTTTATATTTTTATGGTATGTGCATCATTTCCCCTGGACTATTATTGTACAGCTCCTGAGTCCAAGATGAATCGTATCGCATGTATCATATCGTATCGTATCATATCGTATCGTATCGTATCGTATCGTATCGTATCGCGTCGCATCATATGGTATCAGTAACTGCCATATGATTGCAGTGCAAAACTGCAGGGATGAGCAAGCCAGTGGGAAACACACATGTACTAACATGGACGCACGGCCAGACAATCCAACTACAGCAAACCACTGAGTATCTTAGATTACAACACACAGGCGTAGCTTGACTTTATTTCCTGCTGAGGACACCACCACAGTATCTTTACGTAGCAAACAGTGGTTTGCTGCTATATGAATGTTCTGAATGTCGCATACAGAACCTCTAAGCTTTGCACAAAAAGATACATCCCCCTCATTCATTTGAATTAAGCCAGTCTCTTGGCAATAAATCAGGGCAATAAATTTAGGCTGCAACAAGATGTCATCCATCAGGGTGCTGCAGTGACCAATCAAATCTTTGCAATTGCACATTCTTGGTAAATCACAACAGGACATAAATGCCATTTTCAAAGTTTACGTCACAATCATTATGATAAAAGATCCAACTATTGCTGCCTTGTTAACTTTTCAGATTTGTAAACCACATAAGGAAAGCTTCAAAAGTAATGGACCTATTGCTTTAACTGGACTTCCTGCATTGTTGCCCTTCACGTTGTTTTAGCGCAGGACTGTTCGCCCTGAACGTCTGCTTAGATTTGTGTGTTGGGGTTGCTGCTTAAATAAGTATTCATTGCTGGAAGGACAGCCTTTTCATAAAACTGGGCTGTCTATGCAGTAGAAAGATACAAATACTTTAGATATTTGTGAAAAACAACCAGAGAAAACAGAAAAAGATGGTTGTTGCATTTGCTGTTGCTCAAGAGGTAAAAATAAAACTAAAAACCACAAGAATGGAAGCATTGCACCAGACCACTAATGCTCCCGCTGGTGGGTGATGTGATGCAAACTTGGTCATTTTGACACAAGAAACAATATGGTGGAAAGAGACAGAGGGACGGATCTCTCTCTCGATCCACTTTTATACTCTTTGTGTCAGCGGTGGCAGATTAAAAGCTAGTTGGGGACTACTGTGGAAGCCAGTTCAAAACACAAACAAAAAAGTAAAGGTCGTACAAATTGTACATGCATAATTCGTCACACCGCAGCTCCTCACAAAATGTTTAGAAATTTAGACTTTCTGGTTGGAACATTACTAACAAAGTAACATGGCCAAGCTTCACAGCAAATGCAGCATCCAGGTTTTCTACAGCCTGTGATCAGCGCAAATAGCAGTTAAACATAACAATGGATGGAGAGGAAATGCAGCGGAAACTTGACACATGTAGGAAACTAGTAGAAAGGATTGTATCTTTTGGTGATTCTCAGTGCACACGTCTTTTCAACAAGTCTCTTCACTTCTATTCCCACACAAATCAGCTTTTAGTTAGCCCCTGGTAAAGATTTGACCAATCACATTCACAAACATCACACGGGACGCAGTTTTGGAACTCGGAGTAAAAACCTAATTGCACTTTTCATACGGGACTAGGAGTGAGCTCAGATGTTCAATCTCATCCTGTTATAGTTTCAGCGAACTGAGCAAACTGGCTCAGCTCAGTTTGGCTCTGTTTGAATGTATTTCCACTTATCAGCATGCTCTCATTTAGTGGAACAACCCGAACAGTTGTAGGGGAAGGAGGAAACAAATCCATGGGGAATCAGGTAATTAGTCACTGGATGGAGAGAGAGAGAGAGAGAGAGAGAGAGAGAGAGAAAGAGTGGGTTGGGTCGTTACCCATAAATGCTGCCTCGCATCAGAGACAATTACCACAACCACAACAGTCCGCACTGGAGTCACACACACACTCAACACACACGTGTACATGCACAGTACCCTCACCTCAACCACGACCCGACGCCCTAACAACCACAACCACAAGTGCCTTCAACTGTCTGCCAATCTGTCTCTCTCTTTCTCTTTCTCTTTCTCTCTCTCTCTCTCTCTCTCTCTCTCTCTCTCTCTCTCTCACACACACACACACACACACACACACACACACACATACATTAGAAAGAGGGCACGGGATAAATTAAGAGGGAGATGGAGCAGCGGTGTGTATTAGGAGACAAATCAGAAAGAGGTGTGTGCGTCTATTTATACAGCTGGATCTGAAGCAGCGACACACACACAGATGAAGACAATTTAAAAGCCAGAATCCCTCCATCTTTTGCTCTTGATATTTTCACTCTCTGTAGTCATAATAAATTTGGAAGAAGAAGAAACTTTCCCTTCTAGACATTTATTTTCTCTCTTTCGTTCTCTCCCTCACCCTCTCTCAGACAGGATATTTTTACAGTGTTTTTTTTTTCCTTTTCTTTTTTTTCCCTCCTCTAAATCTTTTCTTGTACAACTGTAGATCAGCGGCCTTTCAGCCAGTCATAATAAAACACAGCTCATATAAGACTCAGGCTGGTTTCACAAGGCCCCCCTGGCAGCGCAGACTCTCACACACACATATACAGACACACACACGTCAAATAGAGACCCATACGTGCGCGCTGCTAACTGTACGACATCGACCACAGCAGACATCAGAAAAGAAAGCCAGTTTCCACATGAGCAGCCATGCATTTTTGAAATTACACGAGGCATCTTAAAGTGTCTCAAAGGGCCATAAAAGTTCAGAAGATATTCAAAAAATGATTTCAGACAGTGGTGATATTGATAAGTAAGTTTAGCAGCGTGAATACTCTGCATTCCTTGTTGTCTTTCTTCCCACAGCTGTTCTTTAATCTCTCACCCTCTCAGATCTCCCCCCCCCCCCCCCCCCATTTCCCCATCTTTTTTCCATTTACTCATCCCTTTCCCTTTCTCCTCTTTTCCCCCATCCCCTCTTTCCTGTCACCTCCCTCCCTCCCTGCCTCCCCCCTCTCTGTCTGTTTTCTGTTGGCGAGTTGAGGAGAAAATCATATTTGCCCGCTCCCTCTGGCCTGCTGATATGGAAAATCATCTCGGAGGCCAGCCACTAACGTAAACCTTATTTCTGTCGCTGTTTTTTTTCTCCTCCTCCTCCACCTCCTCCTCCCCTTCTTTTCTTCCTGCCCTCTGTTTCCGCCTTTGTTTTATCCTGATCCGCACATTCCCTTTCCATCTGTCACCGCTGCATCCTCTCGTAGCTTCCCGTAGCTCTGAGCAGAGATGATGAATGCAAACACACTGAATTAGCCGCAACAGATGAGATATATCGGAGGAATGGTGAGTGAGATAAAACACACGCACTCACAAGTCATCGGTGGGTTTGATTTTCCGATCAACCTCAGATCTGAGTCAAAAAATCAACTCTGACCCAAGTGACATGGTGATTATGTGCAGCTTATTACTATATGCATATGTTATTTACCATAAATACAAGCTGCTGACTGAGAAAACAGCTCCATTCAGTCTCCATAGTGGTAATTAAAGTAGAAAATGTGTTCATATGCCTCCCATTTTTCCCAGTTGGCATCATGACTTGGAAAAGTGTGTCAACACACAGGCAGCGAATCCTCCGATGTTGACAATCCAAGGTAATAAGAAGCCGAATTATGAGTTCCTATTCATACTAATACAGTCAGCTGTACCTACAGTGAGCGAAATCTGCTTTAGTTTAT